GAGGATAAGGGTGCACCCCAGATCTAACCCCTCAGATTCTGTCTGGGCTCAGCACTAGGATTGGTACCCTGGAGACGGGTACAAAGAAGGACAAGAAGAGCTGACTGGAGTGAGAAAGCCATCTATGATACGGCTGGTGGAGGGGAAGAGGAAGGAGAGGAGGAGGCCGTCTCCCTCCTCACTGTGTGAAGGAAGGAAAATGTGTGTGAGAAGGAGCCAGCTGAGAGAGGAGGTGTGTGCGGCCCGCAAAGGAACATGCTGCAGGACAGTCCTCCCTGCGGCCATTTCGGGATTCCTCACCTCACTCTTCTCTGACTGGTGTCAGCCCGCGTGCGGTCGCCCACGGCCCTTTGTGCTGGCACATTTCACTGGGCTGGATTAGCTCTCCCTTGCGGGCAGGGGGGTGGCAGATGTTGGGGGCTGAGAGTCCGTGATAAGCACGGTTTTGTGCCGGGTCTCAGAGCCACCTGAATCAGAACTGCCAGGATCCCCGCGGAAAGCAGATTGTGGCTTCCACCCAAGACCTGACGGATCAGCTGTGCTTTGCGCCTTCTGTGCGTTACCAGTCCTTGTCATCCTCGCAACGATGCTGGAAGGTAGTCCTTGTAGGGGCCATGTTTTACAGATGTGGAAACTGAGGCCCAGCAAGGTGTGATGTCTTGACCAAGGTCACATGGGTGATAAGTGATGGAGCTGGGACTCCAGCTTCAGTCTGACTTCATTCCCATTCCTGGCCTGGCCTGTGAATGAAGCCTTGGGTCACTGGGGCAGGCTTTCTTCCCCGGCTTGCTCCCCCACCCTGACCCATGCTTCAGTGGCCCAGAGCCCCCACACTCTCGATGCTCTTTTTGCCTCTGCAGAGGCTCTTTCCCAGAGCAGGGGGTCTCTTCTTTCATCCCCTCCCTCTTTCTGTAGAATTTCTCTTCTGTGCTCCTCCAGGGCCAGCCCCACCTTGACTTTTAAGCCTCCTTTGATGTGTGCCCTCCCCTGTTCCTTCCTTGTTCATGCCAAACAAAACAAAATCAAATGAACAAAATCTCTTTTCATTATATTTATATGTCATTATATTCATTTATTTTTTCACTCAATATTCATCAAATATAACTGAGCACTGATTATGAGCAGATATTGCCAAGTGCTTGAAATACCAAGAGTGAACCTAAATGGATGTGGTGTCAACCCTCACAGAGTTGTGGTCAAGTACACCTCTCATGCTGAATCCCACTCTCTCTCCACGACCTCCTCAGCCCTGTGCTGTTGGTGATATGAAACCAGGTCTTAAGTGCCCAGGACAATGTCTACTATTAGTAGGTGCTGGGTGGAATCAATAAATTAATGAGATGGGGTAAAAGGCCATGAAGGGCAAGGCAAGGTACGTTTCAAGGAGGTCAGGCAGCCTGCCTTCTGTTGCTGCATCCTCAGAAGACGCGAAATTGTCTAATAAATGGTTTTGCAGCCCAGGGCCCTAGAGAGGGCAGCTGACATGCCCGAGGCCTGAGGCCAGCGCCCAGTCCGAGCCCACGTTGGGAGAACGCATTAGGAATGCAAGGTGTAGGAAATAGAAATTATTAAACTCGTAGATAGGGACAGAAATGCCTTTGTGAGGCTGCAGAGTTGGGAAATTATGCTGAAGCAATGCATTGCAAATCAGCCTGCACTCGGCAGCAAGGCAGAGAGGGGCTTTTATTCTCCAGGTCCCGAAGTTCCTTCGGCAGCTTTGTGTGCAGACGCGGAGGCCCTTCTGGGAGGAGAGAAAAGCTGGTAATTTCGTGGCCGATTGGCAGACTGTCCAGAGCCAATAAAGATATTTGTTTTCTTGCTGAAGTGCGCACAAACCCAGATCTCAGCTCCCTGATTTTATCTTTCTCTTCTTGTGATCTTCCCCATTTTTATTTTCCGTTATGGAGAGAAGTGAAACCTGGGCTATCTTTCTCCATTCACGTGGCTTAATGTGAGCCCGGTGGGGATGGGGTCCCCATCCTGATGGCCCATGAGGACAAAAGACATTTGCCCAGGGTATCTGGCCTTTTCTCCAGGTGTCCATCTGCTTTGGCACAATCTACAGAGATTAACTGTGCCACTTTGGCGCCCTGGGGGGGCTTGATGCTTACACTCCCATGAATCCACCCAACATCCTGCCGTGTTTGATGTTGTTTGCCTGTTTTAAGGATGAGCATAGGTGAGTTGTCCAAAGTCTCAGAGGTAGTAAATCGTGGCACTGGGATTTGAAGTCGGGTTTATCAGTTTCCAAAGTCTGCAGTCTTGGCTTTCTTGAGTGCCCCCGTAGCATTGCACTCCAGCATATTCATGGCGTCCCTGATGATTGAAGAAGCTCTCACTCTACACTGGGGGCTCCCGAGCTGGGTTCTCCAGCAGATCAATCCTAAGTCACAGGGACATCTTGAAGTTTTAACAGGAGTATCTGGTTTGGAAATGGAAGGGACTTTTGAGACTACGTAATTCATTCCCTTTCCCATCTGGGCCCATTTTCCAGATCATGAAACTTAGGCCCACAGAATTTAGGGACTGGCCCAAAGTCACAGCCAACTCTCGAATGGCAGATGCAGGACAAGGACCTGTACCCTCACTCCCAGGCCAGCATCCTGTCCATTTCATCTGCAGTATCAATTAGGACTAGGTTTAACTGTAACAGACATCCAAAAGATAGTCACCTTACTCCCTGATGTGAAATAAATCAGAAGCCAGCAAATCAGATGTAAAAGAAATCAGAAGAAGGTATGGCAGTGTTGGGACCAAGACTTTCTCTCTCTCTTCACTTTGCTATGTGTGGCTTCCTTCCCAAGTTCACCTCATGGTCCAAGATGGCTCCTGACGCTCCAGCTATTACATCCAGCAGCTGAAAGGAGGACATCATTCCCATTCAGAAGACTTTCTGGGAGTTTTATACAATGCTTCTGTCTCACTGGCCAGAATTTAATCTATGGCCATACTAGTTAAATGGGAGGCTGGAAAATGTCATCTTTTAGCTGGGTACCTAGTTAAAAATCAGGATTCTGGTTCTATTCCTAAGAAAACAGGAGGGAATGGCTATTGGGAAGCAACTAGCAGCCTTGCCTATACCTCTTTAGTCTCGAAACTGGCTGCCAACACCATACCTCCTGGTCTGTGCTCTAGGAATTCCCAGCTGAGAGGGAAGCTGAACCAGCACATCTTGACTGGCAGAAAAACAAGGGTTTTCTTTTTTTCCTTTGCCCTCCAGATAAAGGCAGGGCACTTTAGCTCTGGAAGAGTTTGCATCATGGAACTTTTTAGTATAATGCCACCTAGCATATTTTTTTCGGTACTAATCTATTTTGGTCCACGTCAAAGACATCAGTGGCATATAGTTTTGGTGCCTTCCCAGATTTTGTGAAACATGAGGGTAGAGATTTAGAATAGACAAAGCAAGATGTAATGTATACGAGTGTGTCAATGTATGTACACATATTTTTAGAAAGGAAGGGAAACTTCCACTCCCATGTGTCCTGGTACGTTTCCAGTCATGTCCCAGGCTGGAAAAGCGTGAAACACTGATTTTGCTCATGCGCCGGTTCTTCAAGCAAGGTGGAGCCCGAGCTGCTGCTTTGAAGGCCTAGAGGCAGTTAGGCACTCAGAATGAGAGAAACGGGGTGTGAAGCAGCCTAGCGATGGTTTCGTCCAACCACTTGCTTTTATAAATGAGAAAACTGAGGCCCAGAGATGGTACAGATTTGCCCCAAATTTAAAGAACTAGACCAAAATCCCAGCTTTCTGACTCCTAGACTAGGGCTGTTTTGCCTGGACCTGTTGCCTGTCTAAAATATATACGCACATATTTTATACTGTTCCTTAGCCACTTCATATGTGTTACTATTGTTTCCCCAACTAAAGGCTCTGAACCCCTTGTGTTCAAAGCACTGTGCAAGGCTTTGGTGTGAGGAGGAGAAAAAGATGAATAAGACTGAGTTTCTCTCTTACAGAATTTGCAGTCTAGAGTGGAACGCAGATACGTTCACAACTAATCGTAAGGCAAGCCAGGGGCTGCTGAGGGCTACCCAGACATACAAGTGATGATGGCCGTGGAAAGACTGAGTATTCGGCTGGGGTCGGGGGATGTTGGAAGACTTCCTGGTGGGGGTCTTTGAAGAAGAGAGGGGTGGAGGGAAGAGGTGATGTAGATTAGAGGGCGGCCACAGTTTGAGCCTGAAAGTCATAATGTGAGCAAACACCTCCCTGCCCTGGGCACCATTCCTGGAATTTAGAGGGTTTAATAGTAGGATCCAAGGAGGGACAGCCTAGAGGGCTCTCTTATCCCTCCAGGGAGGAGCTCTAGTTCAATGAACTTGTTGGACAGTGTTCTCGGTCCTGTTTGGCCAATAAAGTGTCTGAAACAAACCCAGCTGGTGCCAGGTCCTTACCAAGACCAGTTGAGTCAGAATCTCTAGGGGTGGCACTCAGACATCTGTCTATTTCAAGCTCCCCAGGTGATTCTGATGTACAACAGGACACTTTAGAGCTAAGGAAGGAGGTGAGCGAAGCCCTGGCATAGGCCACAAGAGGAAGTATGGGGCGTGATGAGCTGAACTCCACGGTGGAACCTCCAGGAGGGGGAGGCAGGAGAACTGAGCCGCCACATCCCCTGGACTCGCTCCCCACTCTGCAGATGAGGAGACAGAGACCCAGAGCAGTGGGGAGCTTTGCCGAGGCCCTCCCTGCAGCTTGTTATGGCAACGCCACGGTTAGTACCCCCGCCCCTCGCAGCCCGGTTCGGAGCAACCTTCATTCAGCATGCCGCCACCCTCTGCCAGTTGCTCAATCTGTGTGGAAGCCTTTAAACGGCCAACAATGAGAAAAAGACTCTTTGTGGCTGTGGGCGCCTCTCTTCATTTGTGTGCAGGGGGAGGTCTGGCTGTTTCCAAGAGTGTTAATTAAGAAGTTGCCTGGTTCTCATTTTTGCTTGTCTTTCTTCTTGCTTCTGGGGTGGGCATGCAGGGCTGGGACTTTAGAGAAGAAATGGCTAGTTATGGTGGTAATGGTGGGGGTGGAGGTGACTACTCTGCCATCCATGTTTAGGGGCAGGGATGGGGACAAGAAAGGCAGCGTTCCACAACTAACGGAGCAAGGGTTGGCTGGAGGGACCCAGGAGGATGGCTTCACTCTGGAGCTGGTTGAATGTGGCAAAGGATGCCCCAGGGAGAGAGGTACAGCCACCAGCTGCCTCCGAGTCTGCAGCTGGTTTCTCGTCTTCAGGGAAAGGCATTGTTTGTTCGTTGTCTCACCTCAGGGGCAGTGGAGTCCAGGTTTGTTCCATTTCTCTTCTTGTACATTCCCACAAGCCCCCATACCCCATCTTGGAAATCATTTTGTCAGCACATCTGCAATAATTTGTTCAACGTCTGTTTCTTCTGACAGGCGGGGTTCTCCTTGAGGATCCTGTTTACTCTCGCCGTGCCCCCCAGTGCCCCGCACAGAGCCTGGCAAGCAGCGGGCACTTCATAAACACTGGGAGACGTTGCAATGGGCTGGCCACGGGAGAAGCACTCCAGTGGACCTTTGGAAAGCAGGTTCTTGCCTGATTCTGTCCCTCATGCTCTGTGGGATCGGGAGCAAGTTGCTGTCTCTCTGTGCCTTGTGTTTCCCCAACAACAATAAACAGAATTAAATCTGTAAAGAGCATCAGCGATATGTTACTCAGACTGAAGCTTATCAGATGGGACAGTTAACTGAGTTCCGGGTGCCCTGGCTCTAGCTCCAGATCAGCCACTTGCTGGCACCACCACCATTGAACCCCCCTGTGCCTGGAGGGAGGGGGTGGGGATCAATCTTCAGGGCAGGTGTAAGGCCCTTTGAGAAGCCTCGACTGCCCATACACCGGGATGGCTTTATTTATTCAAGGGGTGCCCCCCATTCATTTTAACTAAGAACAGAGCAAAAAGTCTTTTCAAGAGAGATTTAAGACATCAGCCAGCACTTACAGAGAGTTTGTGCAGATCGATGGTCCTGGCTGGAGGGAAAGGAGTCAGAGGGTTCAGTTGTAAGGAGTCAGAGGGTTCAGTCTAACTTACTGGGGGGCTGGATGAGAGCTGGTATTACCTGAATGAAGGGGCTGGGTTAGAGGTCTCTGGAGAACTTTGTCTGTCATCAGGGTCAATGGCTGGATGAGTTTGGGGACGGAGACTTGGCTCCTTTGCAGATTCCCCCGTAGCTCTGGAGAACGGTATTTGCGTGGCTGCAGACTTCCAGCGGGCATTTGCTGACAGCCCTTGCCTTGGGAGAGGCTCCCGCAGCATCCAGGTGCTTTGGGAAAAGCCTGCCAGGCCGGCAGCATACTTTGCTCCTCTCTGCAGGGCCCTCAATCACAGAGGGACCAAGGACCAGGTGTCCCCATCGGGCCTGCTAGGCCCTCTCTCCCCCTGCCAATTCGGGGCTTATCCCTCTTGGCTCTCGCGTGGCTCAGGAGGGACCCAGCCCCGATCATCTCAGCTCCAAGAGAGAAAAGGAGGAACATCTGTTAACACAAATGCTTTTCTAATTTCTTTTTAAATCTCACTCAGCATCTGCGTTAAACAAGGCTGATCGGCTTGTACAATATTTAATTTTGGAACCATTTCAAAAGGCGCTTGTAAGAGGGGAGCAATGGGGGAGAGCAACAGCCTCCTAAATCTTTAATAGCGTGCCGGTTAGGAGCTTCCGCCGCTCGGGCCTAATCACACAGAGGAGAATGAGCAGAGACAGAATTTCTTAATAACAAATACCTTTGCAGCACCTCATTAAATCACTGCATTTCAGAGACACAGCAGGACACTTGGGTGAATAAATAGTGCAATCTCCCAGTCTGAAGGATTTTCACATCTGAGTTATTTCTCCTGCATATGATCAGTTCCTTTTTTTTCTCTCTCTCTCCTTTTTTTTTTTATTTCCACAAATGATTTTAGCTGATGAGTTCAATTAACGAAGACGTTAGAGGCAAAGTTGAAAAAGCGCCTCTCTCTCTCCCTCTTTTGCATCCCCTGCTCTCCCCCGCCCTATGACAGTATATAGAGCCGCATTTCGTGTGTTGTTGTGGTTTAACAAATAGCGCTGCCAAATGAGAGATGAGAGGAGAGGGGGTGGGGAGGGCGATGCTGGTTGGTGTGGAAACAAAGCATTCCCTGGCTGGGTGTTTATGAGAATGGTGATGAATGGAGCCTGGGAGGGACAGGTGGGCAAGGACGGAGCTCCGAGGTGCTTTCGGGGGGGCCCCCGACCACCTGTGGATTTGGGTCCCTTTCTCCCCACGGCCACGCCCAATCTCTAATGGGGCCTGTAATAGGACAAGGGAACTGAGGAAATCCTTCCGTTTTCAGTTGCACTTAAATATTTATTGAGCACCTGTTGTATGCCAGGCCCTGTACGAGATGCTCAGAGTTAATGCTGTCGTTAAAAATCTAAACCACAGAGTCCTTCCCACATTCTCGCTCACTACAATTGAATCAGTCGGGCCATTGATCAATCCGTCAAGAATTTAATGAAGAGGCCATCAGCTGGCAGTCCACGGACTGGGTCCCGCTCAGAAACATTTTTCGTTTGTCCCAAATACTCTTGGTTGCTTGTCTTTTTGTTTTTGTTTTTTTAAAAATAGAATCTGTTGCTGTAGTGCCGTGTTTTTAAAACTGTGGTTTATGACCCCTTAGTGGGCCTTGAAATCCGTTTAGAAGGGATCCCAAGTTACTCATTCTTAAATGTTGATTTGGGGAAAAATCTATCTCTGAGTTATTAAGTGGTATATTTTCTGAGTCTTTCAATGCATGGGGAATATTTTCTTTTACTTTCATAAATAAACATCCCTCTGACTGAGGATAAAACTGGAATGGACTCAGTAGGATAGGATGGGATGGAATGGGATAGAATAAACAGAAAGAAAAGAAATAACAGAAGAGAAGAGATGAAAAGAAACTCATCGGCGTGGATCGCGTGCAGGAAGGTCAGCATTGTTCCGGTTTTATATGTGGTGTGCTTATATGCTAGTGTGTGATGTAAAATGCACTTCTTGCTGTAGGTCCCAAACAACAAAGCTCAGAGCCTCTCCTCCCATGCGGAATGCCCAGCGCATTGTGTTGTCGTGTTGGTGGAGAGTATGGGCTCTGGGGCCTGTCTGCCTGGTTTGGAGCCCACTTGCCACATGTTTTCCGTGTCACCTCAGTGTTGGATCCCAGTGGCAGCCAGTGATGTGACTATGCACGGCCAGTGGCATCAGTATCCTAAGCAGACGTCGCCGTGGTCTGGAAATTGCAGGCCTCGTCTGCCGGGGAGCCTGCCCGCTGTCTACTTTTGTTTCTTGGCCTCCCCTCCATTCTGGGAGCTCATCGAGTCCCTTTTAGTAAAGTGTCCTCTGCTCACTTTAGCCAGGGTTGTCTTCAATGCTTGCAACCGAGAACCCAGCCATACATAGAAATCAGGAGATTTCACATGAAAGGTTGAACTTCCAGTTTCTTTTGGGAAAAAAAAAAGGAAGATTTAGTTTTAGGTCTGTGTTTCCCCATGGCAGGCCTATAGATGGTACATTGGCTTCCTGTGGCTGCTATAACAAATTACCAGAAACTGGGTGCCTTAAAACAGCAGAAATTTATTCCCTCACGGTTCTGGAGGGCCCAACTCCAAAACTCAGCAGGGCTGGGCTCCCTCTGGGGCTGTGGGGGAGAATCCGTTCCTTGCCTCTTCCGGCTTCTAGTGGCTGTCCTGTCGTTCCTGGGCTCGTGGCCGCCTCACTCCTGTCTCTGCCTCCATCCTCACGTCACCTTCTCTGTGTGTCTGTGTCATCTCCCTTTGCCTCTCTCTTATAAGGACACATGATGGCATTTAGGCCTCACACTGATAATCCAGGATGGTCTCTTTATCTCAGGATCCTTAGCTTTATTATCTCTACAAAGACCCTTTTTCCAAATAAGGTAATATCCATGGGTTCTGGGAATTATCATGTGGATGTGTCTTTCTGGGGCCACCATTTAGCCCATTACAGGTGGAGTTCCACAGTCCACAGCCTGCTTCATTCATTCATACAGCCCCCCGGGCCTGCTGGTACATGAGTTTTTGACCTAATTTGACAAATGCCTGTTCCACAGTGGGAAGGCCCAGTGGGAAGATGCAGAAAGGCAAGGCATGGTTTCCATCCTCAACAGCCTCATCTCCCTGAGCCTGGGTATCCAAAAAGGTTGGGGTAGTGGTGAGGGCTTCCTACAGCTGGTGGGCCTTGAAGGATTTAGATAAACAGAAGGCGGCAGGGACTGATAGTGTCTTCTTGTGAATGGCTCCAAGTGCTAGGGAGACAGCAGCCAACCAAGTGGAGTCTGTGCTTCTATGGAGCTTCCATTCTAGTGGGGTGAAAAAGACAAGAAACAGTCACACAAATGTCAGATAGTAGACATGTGATTGACAAAAATAAATCAGGGAATAGGAAACATAAGCCCTGGTGGGAGGCAGGTGTTGCTATTTTCATAAGGTGGCCAGGATGCAAAGGTGACATTTGAGCAGAGTCCCAAAAGAAGGAAGGGAAGGATCCACATATGTATTTCTGGGAACAGCAATCCAAGCAGAGGGACAAGCATATGCAAAGGCCCTGAGGCACCTGCATTCTTGGGATGTTCAGGGAACAGTAAGGAGGCTTTGCTGATATAGCTGAAAAGGAGTAATCTAGCAGGCAAGTGGTAGATGAGGACTCGGGAGGGGGCTGTTGTCATGGCAAGGACTTTTCAAGGGCTGAGGATCAAGGAAATACTCTTTAAAGCAGTGGATCATGAACATGAATGAGAAAAGTCTTTAATTTCACTAACCTCTAACAGAAGTTTAGCATTTCCTTTACTTACAAATCTAGGCCCCATCTAGAGCATTGAATCCACAGCACTTTTGGCAGTACCATTGATGACTTTGTCATCTGTGGAAATCACAGATATTTTTATATCATCGTACAGTTATTACACTTAATCTTGAAATATTGTTTTCTCCCAGCACTACTTCAAAATTATGTAATTAGACCTGCCACTAGAACTCATTATTTACTGCATTAATAAAAAGCTCATATATTACTATATCACAAATTAGTTTTTAAAAAATATTTTTATAACTGCACTTCAATATAATTTATTTCCCGTGTAATCTTGTGTATTCTGTTTTATGCATTTCAAGACATTATTCTAGGAAGAGGTGAAAAGGCCTCCCCAGACTGCCCATGGGGTCCACGTGGCATGAAAAAGTTCAGCACGCCTGTCTTCAAGCCTTTCGTATGTAGCCCCTTTGGCTTCATCTTGGGCCACCCCTGACCCCCCACCCCAGTGACTTCATACGTCATCCAGCCTGAACGACAGATACTTTCTCCAAATGTCATGTCTTCATTGCCCCCAAGCCTTTGCAGATGTTGCTCCTTCTGCTTTGAGCTCTGCTGCCCTTTGCCAAGTTCTGCTTATCCTTGAAGTCTCAGCTTTGCTGGCACTTTCTCCAAGAGACCTCCCCTGATCCCCTCGCTGCATTGTGGATGTGTCAGTGCACTCCAGGGGACCATGTCCCGGTCTGTTCCCCATTAGACCACCAGGTCCTGGGGGGCAAGGATCAGGGTTGTTCCTGGCAGGGTCACCAGTGCTTACCCCAGGGCCTGATGCGCAGTGGGTGCTTGATACACTCGGAAAATATCCACGGACT